TAATATAACATAATATAATATAAAATAATATAACATAATATAATATAGTATATTATAGTAGAATACAATATACTAAGAAGTATAATATAATATAATGTAATATAATAATATAATATAACATAATATAACATAAATATAACATAATATAATATAATATAATACAAAATGATAGAATATAATATGATGTGATATAATATAATATAGTATAATATAATATAAGAAAATAATATATTATATAAAATAATATAATGTAACATAAAAAATATTATAATATAATATAATTCTATATACTATAATATAGTATAATACAAAATGATAGAATATAATATGATGTGATATAATATAATATAATATCATATAACATAATATAATATAATATAATATAATATTGTGTGTGTAACACCACCATGAACCTGCATTAAGGCCTTCAGGAAGGCGTATTTCCTGACCACGATATTCGACTCTGAACTGGGAAGCTGCCAGGAGATAGCGCCTGTTTGGCGGCCGTCGCAGGATCTCCGCCGGTGCGCGCAGCATCTTCGCCGACGGTGCCTCAGCTACGGGGGTTGAGGGGTGAGTGTCTCAGAGTCTCAATTAACACTGGAATTTCGGGTCCGGGTTTGTTTTTGGGTTTGTGTAGGGTTTCTGGTTTAGGGCTTATACGGGGCTTTATGGCTTTGGGGAAGGGAACGAGGTTGGGAGTTCTATGCAGAGTCGAAGGTCTTGGGTGTAGAAGCTTCTCGCCTAAAGACACTCTTGCGATCGGAGGTTCTAGAAGTTTACCGCTTATTCAAATTACTCCGCCCACATGCTCACATACTCCCCGAAATAGGAGCCTACAAGAAGATGACTGAAAATTAAGCCCTACAGCATAACACCACTTCGTCTGCCTGAAATTCCAAGAGTGCTCTTCCCCGAAGGAGCCACATGCAGCACCCTCAGGGTCTATGCACCCAACTAGTATATTTAAGCTTGTACATTACACCCAAAGCGCAACCTCGTGACTGCCCCCAATCCCCAGCCCCGAAGCCCTGCACCCCAAACCCTCCCGAGTACTTTTTTTTGGTGAAGAGGGGGTGCCTCCACAAATCACGGGTTTAGGGTTTAGGGTTACCTGCAGACTTCGTCTGTCCGCATGTACGAGTACATAGCATCAGTTGGAAGCGACAAGCATCTCTAAACCCCTGCCAGAGCATTGAACGTGCTGTGAACCATAAACATTCCTAGAGCCCCAACCTCTATGGAGGCTCCGATAAGCCCCTAAAAGACCATTTACATACAAGACCTTTATTCCTTTACCACAAACTCCATGATCCAAAGCCCAAAATCCCAGACCCTGAAATGCTTAACCCAGACGCTCAAAGCCTAAACAATACATACGCCCCCATCCACCAAAAGAGACGACTCTCCTAAACCCGAAACCCGCAAACCCTGAACTCATGGCCCTAAACCCTTAAACCCTTAAACCCTAAACCCTTAAACCCTAAACCCCCTAAACCCTAAAGCCCCTAAACCCTAAACCCCAAACCCCTTAACCCCTAAACCCCAAATCCCTAAATCCCTACACCCAAATCTCAGGCGGATCCCTATACCTTAAACCCCAAGCCCAAGCGCGCGCCGCTGCCAGCGCCGCAAGCTCCGCGGTGCGGCGTGGGGCTGTGCCCGATGCCGCGGCCGAAGTCAGAGCCGCCTTATGGGCTAATAATTAATAATGCTTCAAGGGTCTAGGGTTTAGGGTTTGGGGGTTTAAGGGTTTAGGGTTGTAGGGTTTAGGGTTTCGGGGTATAGGGTTAATGGGTGGTTGTCAAAATTATGGTCCCTTTTTCGGTACCTGCCGATAATAGTACTAAGCTACCAATATATGGTTGGTAGTAGAAGGCTGCTAATAATCGGGTTTGGAGAAAGGGTTTAGGGTTTGGGGCATTTATATATAGAGTTTAGAGTTTAGAGAACTGTTTAAGGTTAGGGTGGAGCCTGACAAATATTTCTTTGGGCCCGAAGACCTCCTTCCTGTGGCATTCTTGGTGAGGGGGGGTGGGCGCTTTCGGTGAAACGGATTTAGGTTTAAAGGGTACAGGCTTCACGGATGAAGTCTCACGGATGCTAACAACGGGGGAGGTAAAAGGATTTTGTAGAAATGGGCAAGAGAAGTCAGAAGCGCTCTATAGGGCTCTACAGAGTGTATAGTGATGAGTTAACCTGTATCCAGGCCATCAAATGCTTACAATCCTTATAAGCAACAACATGTTGCTCCCCTAACAATAATAAGGCAGAACTGTCCCCAATATGAGGTGTACAGGCCTTATAATGTTACATCCTGTAACCTACAGGTAAACCAACAGAACATAGAACGGATACAAACAGATTTGGCAGTTCGCGGTCCCAAGAGCAACCCCAACATTGACCTTCCCTCAGGCTCCATGTGCTCACAGAGTATTTGGCCTTAATGTAGTCCCTATATAGGTACATTAGGGCAAAGAGAGATACAGTAAACCCCATAAAGTTGGAAACCGGATTAAGGCCAAATAGTGCTGGGATTCCCCCACACATTGCTCTTAAGGCAATTGGGTTTCCAACTTTTAGGCTTCTGTAAAATATATGGGTACATGGACACTGAGAGTTCAGCTTCTGCGGGCTTCCGAATGAATCCAAGCAACTTCCGCTGAAGCGCTCCTCGGCAAGATACGGACGATGCACGGTTGGGGCTGTACTGGGCTCTCTTCTACTGGCATCGGAGAGCTGGGCTTCTGTCCTCGAAAGATTGCAACCCGTAATGTGATTCAGGATCTGTGCTGATTCCTTAAGGGTCCATGTGGTATATACTTCGGCCTCTATAGGGACTACATTAAGGCAAAGGTATATACAAGTTGGGTATATGCACCCTCAGGGTTCGGCATGTAGGAGCCGTGGAAGGCACAATGAACACCGAAGCCGAGCCTGACTGAGCCAGCTGCTAAGCCTAGGTTTCGGTAGCACCCAAAAGTGTCCGAAGTACCTATATGGGGATATTTACTTACCCAAACGTAATAGTAATTCCTACTATGAAACCTTTTTTTCCACAGATTACATAAGTACTATCGACCCTTTAACTTCAAGGTTTTTAAGGTTTTAGAGTTCGGTGCTTCAGCGCGTTACTCAGGGTTTAGGCTTTAAGGCATGTCTTCATGAAGGCGACAGGAAAAGTGCAAGGCCGCTTAATAGCAACATGTTCTTATAATATATATATATATATACACACATACATTTCTTTCTGGTAGACTTTAGGGGTTTAGCGACATATCCCTACATATTCTGGTCTCTTCCAAGCGTCGCCACCTCCGGCAACGCAATGCCAGCAGCCGTGGCAGCCTCCAGGCTTTTAAGAGTGCAGTTGAAAGGTTTTTTTGGGCTTTACCCAGGGCTTCACATACCTGAACAGTAAGCAGTAAGTGAATATCCATATATGTATATCTATATATGTATATATCTTATGTAACCCAGTAAGCCATTATTTGGGCAAGTGGAGCCCTAGGGTTTGTAACGGTATGACTTTTAAATGCGTGTCGAGCAGTAAAGCCGCCAAAACCCGCTGTTTCGGAGGCTGCTTGGTTGGGTTGTTGGGTTCAAGTCAGTTCTCACCCCTGTCTGAAATTTGAGAACATTGCAGTATACCGCCCAACGCAGAGGTAGCCTTCTACTTGTTGGGCTGCTACCCCCGCCTCTGCATGTTTAGAGGCAGGGGGAGAACTGACTTGAACCCAATGAAGCCTCCTCCAAAAAAGCCTGAGGTTTTGGTGGATTAAACTACGAGTAGTGTGCGGGGCAGGGGGGGGGGGTAGGGGGTTTTTACGGTCTGACACAGCGATGGAGCGCTTTGGGTTCTGGGTTTGGGGCTTCTAGGTTTTATCTGAGGAGTTTCGGCCTGCTATAGGTTTTTGGGTTCGGGATCGAAATTCATTGTATTTAGGCTAATTCTGCGTGGCTCACGCGGGCTGCTTGAGCAGCACAAAAACAAACCCAAACAAACCCTAAATCCTAAAGCAGTTGGCTTCTGTGCTGTCCCCAAAGACCAGGTCCCCTCAAGTATGGCTAGTTGAAACTACAAGCCTGGAGCTCCAAACGAGGATTCAATGAGATGCCCGTTGTCTATTATAACCACTCAGGGTTTGGGGTTTCCCTCGACAGGGACATAGTCCTAACTCTACTTCTTCCACGCACCCATAATAATGTAACTTAGTATATTCTTCGGCCTGGAAAAAGGGGTTCCGATATAGAAACTTGAAGGCATGGAGGTACATGTGGCCTAAGCGGAAACCCGACTGGACAGCCTTGGCTGCACGCTGAGCAGCCAGGGTCGCCGCAGTCAGGGCATTCGCCTTCCAACAAAGCTCTGGGGATCTGGCTTTTGGGAGTTTAAAGGGTTTATAGGCGTTTGGGATTTGGGTTCATGGTATAGAGGTGTAGGATCTCAGGTTTTGGGTTTCGGGTCAGTTTAGGGTTTGGGCTTTGTTGGGGTCTTTTGGGGCTTGGAGTAGTGGCTTGGGGCCGGCTGGCTCTGGAAGCTCATCTTTGTGACTCTTCAGCCCAAAGACGGGAATGCAGAAGGATTTCGAGCTATTCTGAGGTATCCCTATGGTCTCCATCGTACTTCCTTTTTTGGGTTTAACCAATTCTATATGTAGGAACTTATTATAAGGTCACCCAGAAATTAACGAACGACAATGACAATGGAGACTATAGGTCAAGTTGGGGTTTTGAGATGTGCAACCTGGACAGAAGGCTTGTGCCTAGGCCCAAACCCTCAAACCACGATCCTGCATCCTCGAGTCCGGTTTTGTGTTTTCCCTCGACCGCCTTTTGTGCGCTACGCCCCCAAACCCCTTGTGAAGTCTATAACTATAAGCCCTAAATGCCCTAAGTCGTCATCCCTAATCCCCTCTAATCTGTGAGTAGTGAGGGGTTTGGGAGGATCCCAAAAGTAGACCCTTTCATGGGGCTCCTATAAAGTACCGATATACTAGTATAGGGCCCCAGATTGGGGGATCTACTTTCTGGATCCTTTGAGGGGTCTGCGCATTGAACCCTATATCCTAAACCCTAAGCCCTAAACCCTAAAACCTATACCCTAAGCCCTAAACCCTAATCCTAAACCTAAACCCTAAACCCTTAAATCCCTAAAACCCTAAGCCCTAAACCCTATATCCCACCTCGGGCCCAGGGGGTTCGCCATAGCCTCGCAGTCGACACCCGTGGCCGCGGAGAGCGGCCTTCCGAACACTGGTTTTAGGGCTTAGGGTTTGGGATTTAGGATTTAGGGTTTTAGGGCTTAGGGTTTAGGATTTAGGGTTTTAGAGCTTAGAGGATTTAGGGTTTAGGATTTAGGGTTTCAGGGCTTAGGGTTTAGGGTTGAGGATTCAGGGCTTTTTGGGCTTAGGGTTTAGGGCTAAGAGGGGTTAGGGCTTAAAGGATTTAGGGTTTCGGGTTTTAGGGCTTAAAGGATTTAGGGTTTTAGGGCTTAAACGATTTGGGGTGTTAGAGCTTAGAGATGTAGGGTTCAGGACTTAGGGTTTTAGGTCTTAGAGGATTTAGGGTTTAGGATTTAGGTCTTAGGGGGGTTCTGCTTGGACTTTCTTCAGCTCGTTTTCTTCTCCTTGAGTCTCTACCGAAACCCAAAAAAAACTACCTCTAATATACCCCGAATTAGTATGGGGCCATAAGGACTCTGCTTAAAGAGCCCTTAAATACCGGGGGTCCTGGTAGGGTTAGGGTTTACTTTGGGGCATATGCTTTGGAGCTCGGAGGCTCTACTTCACATGCTCTTGCCCCTGCGGAGCGCCCCAACTTGGGCGCCCGGTACTCCGGCGCCTAATGTAGGAACCTGGTTAAGAAACCTTAGGCCTTTATGAGAGTTCCTTATACGAATCCTACCAGCGATTCTTAATCAGGTTCCTACTTCAGCTTGCGGCGCAGCTCCACAAAGGCCTCGCGCTCGCGCACTCGAGCCATAGCGACGTTTACCCACTAAGAAGGGTCCAGGATTCGGGTGTGCTGCTGCCAGCGCGTCTCTTTCCTCTGTGCTTGGGACCCCTAAACCCTTAAACCCCCACACCCTCGAACCCTAAACGCCCTAAACCCCTGAACCCCCAAACTCTCGAACCCTAAACCCCTAAACCGCTAAACCCCTAAACACCAAACTCCTAAACCCTAAACCCTAAACCCCTAAACCCCTAAACACCAAATCCTAAACCATAAATCCCAAATCCTAAGCCTTAAACTGCCCTGAACCCCTAACCCCTGAACCATGCGTCGAGAGGAGCTGAGGGGTCAAGCAGAAACTCGGCCCCCAGAGCTAATTCCCCGACTCGATGGCCACCTGGTCGACAGCTGCGTCGCCACAGTCCCTAAGGCTCCATGTGCCCATAAAGTATATACTTAGGCCTTAAAGTACCTATATAGGGACTACTTTGGGGCTTAAGTATCTACTATAAAGGTACATGGAGCCTTAGGGAATGCAATCGGCTGTCCCGGCGACGGCCCAAGACCAGCGCACAGGACCCGACAAGGCTACCTGTAGTCTCCATTGTAGTTCGTTTGTTTGGCTAACCGTTGACCAATCGTATGGTTAAGATCCTCTGATATAGAATTGGTTAACCAAACAAGGAACTACAATGGAGACTATAGGTAGAATGTGGGACCGGGTTCTCCAGCCAGTGGTCGTGCCACTTTGGGGCGCAGCAGGTCCAACAGGTTTAGGCTTGAAGGTATATGGGTTGCTGCGCTTAGGATTTAGCCTTGAAGGTCTTATAAGGGGCCTTAATGATTAGAATGGGGTTTTCGGGCCCATTATGCTACATATTATAATAAGAACCCTCCCCCAAAAAAAATAGTATAGGTAATTCTTAAGGCCCCTATAGTATGTAAGGCTTGCTGCTAAGGATCTGAGGAGTTCCACTAGCCCTGAGGGCCTGGCATCTTCACGGTTTTGGAACCCAAGACTATCTGGGTAGTTGTCTAAATGACTATACTGAACTTAGAATCCTAGCAAAAATATAATTTTAGCTGTTTCATAGGGATTATAACAACCAAAAATTAAAAACAATTTCTAAGTACCCCTAAGATGAAGGGTCCCTTTTTAGGTCCCCCCAACATAGTACGGCACCCGTATAAGAGGATCCAAAAAGGGGACCCTACTTTCGAGAACTAACCATCTGCCTCGTGGGCCATTTTGGGCGGGTTTAGGGTTTAGGGTTTAGGGTCTAAAGATATTCAACTAAAGACTCGAGGTTAACGCTGTCCATGTCCCGAAGGTCAGAAAGATCCTCCATGGTATATACTTGCATAGTAAACGGCAGAATACCTGTACTAGGAATTGATTTTGCAGTTTGTGCCATTATCCACTTAACTCTAAACCCTGAACCCTGGACCCTAAACAACCCAAACCCTCAAGCGCATCCCCGATGTAGCTGCTTGGAACCCCTTCTTTTTAACTCATCGCTGCAATGAGTGCCGACATGGGATGGCTGTGTTCGTGATACTGGCAACACAACTCAAGAGAAGTGTCACACGAATGAAAAGGCTAGACTGATGCTGTTGATGAATGATGATGACGATGATGATCATGATGATAAGGATTGTTCTGATAACCACGATGATGACCATGACCATAGTGATGATGATGCTGATGACGATGACAATGATGATGGTGATGATGATGGCGATGATGATGATGACGATGACTATGTAGGACGGCGACGGTGATCATGCAGCCGAAAGTGGTTGCAGTGGTGGTGCTGGTGGTGGTGCGTGGCGGTGCTGAGACGATGAAATTAACTGATGCTGCTGGAAACCTAGACTCAACCCCGGTGAGGCAGGCGCTAGAAAACAACCGAAGTCGTAAACGCATCTCCGGAATCCCTCTGGAAACCATGCAAGGCCAATATGAGCCCCGAACCCTTCCCGGCCCTCCTGAACCCTAAACCCTAAACCCTAATCCCTAAACCCTAATCCCTAAACCTTGATACCTAAACCCTAAACCCCTAAACCCTAGACCCCTTCCCGGCCCTCCTGAACCTTGAGTGTCGCGATCTCCTTCAGCTTCGTTTCCCACTCTCTAGGGTTGCAGAACTTTTGCGGTTGAAGATCAAGTGCTGCAAGAGTGGACCGATAAGTCCCACCAGCCTCTAAACTAAAATATGTACACATGGCTCCCAGGCCCATAATAAACCACTGCATTCTTGAATGCGCTGGGTGAATTTACAACTGCAGGCTGCCTCTGTAAATCCTACACTAACACCCAGTAACCTGGCCGCTTAAAAGACTTATGTTCGGAAGTCGTAATAAGGTGAAGCTCTATAGGAGGCTGAGGGAATTTCTATAGAGGTACACTAAGGCCTAAGATGATCTGAACGATAACTGCAAACTCACACACACACACACACACCAAACCCTGAACCTGAAGCATAACATGCACCCCTGAGTCGCAAAGCATGATCAACAAAAAAACCTAAATCCCTAAACGAACTGAACCCCTAAACCCCTTAACCCTAACCCCTAGACCCCTGAACCCTAAATCCTAAACTCCAAAACTCAAGGCCCCTAAACCCAAAACTTGAGGAAGGGGTGAGAACTCCCCAAAGACTCCAATATCCCTTAATTAGGGAATATTCCTTAAATCAAAGTAAGGATCCTAATTTAATTTAAGGAATATTCCTTAATTAAGGGATATTGGAGTCTAAACCCTACACCCTATAGATCCCTTAAAGGAACCCTAGGTATTCCTTAATTAAGAAAATATTGGAGTCTCTGGGTCCTGGCGGTCTGCTTCGTTCCCGTGACGAAATTGCATCTTCAAGGGCCGCTCCTGACAGGCAGTCATCAGGATTCAGGGTCTACGGTTAAAGGGAACTCCAGGAAGTTGGAATATGGTTTCAGGGTAGGATACCTTATAATTAGCCATAAAGGGTGTAGAATAACCAGATTCAGGGTCTACGGTTAAGGGTTTAGGGTTTGGGGGTTTAAGGGTTTAGGGGTCTAATTTAGGGGTTTAGGGTTTAAGGGTCTACGGTTAAGGGTTTAGGGTTTATAACGGTTTAGGGTTTAGGGGTGCAAGGGTTTAGGGTTGTAGGGTTTAGGGCTTAGGGTTTGGGGGTTTAGGGTTTGGGGGTTTAGGGGTTTAGGGTACCCCAAGGATCCAAAGGACCCAATAATCAGGTACTCGGTTTTAGGATAGTAGTTATGTAGGTTAGGATTTTGGAGAGTGTATGATTATTGGGTACTTGGACCCTTGGGGGTAATTACAGGATTTACCAAAGACCCCCCCTATTGATTCGGAATATACCTGAAACCATGAAAGGAAGCCCTGCATAGCCTACGAGAGACCACTGCGTTGACACAAGCTGCCGGTGGTCACGACGACGAGAACTAGTTTGCCCGACATCTGCTCTTGCAGAAAGTGTCTGCGCACAGGTATTGTTTCCAGAGTGATTTTTGGAACGGTGACTCCTATGTCCTATGAAACTTGAACAGCGGCCATCCTAAACCCAAACTGCAGAACCCTTAATCCAAAACCCCTAGCCTTTAACTCAAATCAATCGAAACAAGGAACCCCAAACCCGGAACCTAAGGACATCGAACCAAAACAACGGCAATGGGTACTACAGCAAGGCCCAAGCCATAAACCCTGCAGAACCCTGAAAGGAACCGTCTGCGAACACACTCACACACACACATATATATATATATATATACACACACACATACATCCATCCATCCATCCATCCATCCATCCATCCATACATACATACATACATACATACATACATACATATATATATATATATATATATATATATATATATCTGCACATTTCTATCTATCTATCTATATATCTATCTATATCTATATATATATATATATATATATATATATATATGCACATTTCTATCTATCTATCTACATATCTATATATCTATATATACATATATCTATATATATATATATATATCCGTAGGATCCCCAGCAACCCAGGAACCCAAACGGCCGTTTTTGGTTTGGGAAACTGTACGAAGAACCTAAAGCAACAACAGAGGAAACAGGGGCCCACTGGGAGACCTGACCCCAAAAACCTAATACCCAAAAATCCCTAACACCCAAAACCCTAAACCTTAAACCAAAAAAAACCCCAACACCCTAAACCCTAAACCCACAAAGCCCTAACACCCAAACCCTAAACCCTAAACCCCTAACCCCCAAACCCTAAACCGTTATAAACCCTAAACCCCAAGGACCCAAATCGCTACCCCCATTCCAGAGACCTTCGGGTCTGCCTATCGAGGCCTTAATAACTAGAACAAGGCTCCTTTTAAGGGCTCCTTTGCAGGGGTTGCACATGGGTTACTATGGGCTTCAGCTATCAAAATTTACCCTAAACCCTAAACCCTAAACCCAAGTTGGTTAAGGTGTGCTTACAACTCCATTACAAGACCTGGGATCCTCAAGAACCTACCTTTTTAACGGTTTAGGGTTTAGGGTTTAGGGTTTAGGGTTTATAGACGGAGGCAATATTAAGGAACCCTAGCAAGGTGATATAGGGGCATTAATATTTGCCAGAAGCGACTCGGGCTTCTAGTTTGGATAGCAAAACATTAGGGTTTAGGGTTTAGGGTTTGAGGGTTTAGGGTTTAGAGGTTTAGGGGTTTAAGCTTTCAGGGTTTTAGGGTTTTTTGTGTTTAAGGGTCTAAGACTTTAGGGTTTAGGGGTTAAGGGTTTAGGCTTTTGTTGGGGTGAAAGCCCGAGCCTCCATCCTCTTTCGCAGTTCGGAGGGCTTAAGCTCTGCTGCCTTGTCGTCGCCTTGGCACTGCGATTCGAAGAACTAAGCCCTAAACCCTAAACCCTAAACCCTAAAGCCCGAAGTAAAGGGTTGAGGGTTAGTGTCCTGGGTTTCAGATTCCGGCTCTGGAGTGGCGGTGTTCAATGCATGCTACTATAGCACTACTTTGCTACTCTGCTAGTGCTACCTGTAGTCTCCATTATGGTTCCTTTGTGGGGTTACCTTTTAGGATCCCTACTATAAAATTGGTTAAACAAAAATTGGTTAAACAAAAAAACTACAATGGAGACTATAGGTACTATACTGCTACTGTCATTATTGCTTCTACTAGAGGGTCCATCTATGCTGCCCTCCTTTATTCGATCCCGAACACCATAGCAGGTTTGGCTTCAGGCGGGCGTGTTTCCATAGCTTTGCTTGATGCGTCAAGAGTGGCCACAGAGGCAAACGGTCAACTGCGGATCGAAGCTAGAAAGTTCTACATGTGCATGAGGGTCCAATGTCTTGGGCTTTTCAAACTGAAGGATGCAGGAAGTACTGCCTATAAGAGGGAATTGGCTGGGGTTTAGGGTTGAATCCATTTCTAAACCCTAAACCCCTAAAGCCTAAAACGTGGTGAGAACTGGAATACCTCCGCTCATGGCGCATGGGTTCCTTATCTGTAGCAGGCATGACATGGTATAACACAGTACTGTGTCGGATGCCCGGGTAGTCTCGAAAGCCCAAAACCATAAATCTTAACAAGAGGGTCCATCATGGAGTTAGGAGTTAGGGCCCCAAAACCATGATAGGGAGGGTCTTTGGGGAGGTGTTTCCGCAATGGGAGGTAGTATCTCTGGACCCTCTTAGTGAAGCCTGATTCAGGCTACAGTGAAGCGCAGCAGATCGATCAAGCAGCCGATTGTGAGCAACGTGTCGCCGATGCACACTGCTGCAGACTCAGCCTTGATTTTAGGGCTTTGGGTTTTGGGCCGAGTTCAGAGTTTTGGTTTCAGGCTTAATTAGTTCACAAACTAACTTTCGGTGTTGAAAACGCGCGGGTGGGTAGGATGGACAGGTTGGCATCTTGGTCGAAAGACACTAATAAGAAGGCTTTGGGCTCTGCGCTTTATGTTGCAGAGACTTCCCAACCCTAAACCCTGAACTGTAAGCCCAACCCACCTGACAAACCCTTTTTACATCTAAGGCCCCCCGACACTCCGAATACACGGAGCACTGCGACTTCAACCGGCTCAGGCCTTTAACATTGAGGGTGCGGGCTTTCTGTTTCATGGCTTTGGGGTTCTAGGGTGACGGACTTGCAGGTCCAGGCTCCAGACCCAGTTTTCAGAAGCACTTGCGTTTTTTCGACGATTCAGCCGCTCGGTATTCCTTGATATTTTTCTTGAGTACAATCGCCCAAGCCCTGTCACGAAACTCCTCTAATGTAGTACACCCCTCGAATGCTCGCATTCGTCTTTGGAAATGCAGCGCTATGGCAATACGCCCAAATGGCAGAAACCAATAACTTCCAACGCCTCTATTCAGTTCATACAAACCCCGGGGCCGTAAACCTCAAACAACAAAACCCAATCCAAAAACCCTGCACCATGCGAAGTCCTAAAACCTAAACTTGCCCCAAAACCCCGGGGTCCTACATCTCAGCTGGTTTCGGCGGCAAGTCTGTGCGCCCAGCCCAGAAGCCCGGCTCCACGGCATAAACCTGGTTTAGGCTTTGGGAGTCTGGGTTTAGGGATGTTTAGGGCTTACAGTTACAGGCGCGGAACAACATAGTGTTGAGGGCTGACGGCTTTTCGGAGTTCGTTCGGTTTAATGTCTCGGTGCTCTTGAACCCGTCTTTTGGCTTCAACTGACTCTAAGATTCTCAGCCTGTAGGATGTCTGCTTCACGGTTAATATGCGGCATCATGTTTCGGTGACTTAGGACTTGGGGTTTAGGGTTTAGGGTTTAGGGTTCTAGACTATAGAGTCAGGCTTTCATTCAGGTTTTGCAGGTAGTTCCCTTATTGCAATGCCGTACTCACCCCAGAGTTACGTCGCCAAAGTGAGTTTTTGCTGAGGAACTTTTTCATAGTTGCAAGAAAAAGGGTACTTATATGTACCTATTCGACCATGGTAGTAGAATACCAAAAGTTGCTTCTCGCATTAACCAGTGCACTTGAACCGGAACCTTCAGCTGCAAACCGATCAGACCTGGATGGTTGCAACTGTTGTGTGTTTAAAAGTGACCACCGATTTCGGAATACATTTCTTTTGCCACTTGGGCTGGGGGCTTGCAATCAAATTGGTGTGATGCGTGGCTCCTGTGCCGCACGACTTCCGCAAAAAACAAAAAGCCTTGACACTCGTCTTTTCCCGAAAGTTCTGAGCAACTATCTATATGCGGATAACTTTCACGCACGAGAACGGCTTACTGTGCTGGTGCTAAGTGCTTGCTCCGGCACCTTACCCGCGTATGCAATCCCATCCTGCTCCACTCATGTGCGGCCCACAACCACATGCTAGTGATCGAACACGTAAGGCAGGCATGTCGCCACGGCACTCCCAGTTCCAACGACTTCGACATCATAAATTTCGATATGTCAGGCAGCAGGCAGCAACTGCCAGGCAGGTTTCTGGCTCCACTCCGTTTTGATTTTTGGTGGTACTGTCTTCAGATACTCGTGTAGTCGGGCTCTCGAACATTGCCGGGGCTGTCGCTTTTGAAATTAGCAGTAATTAGCAGTATAGTATGGAATGCAAAAACAGGAAGCTACCACAAGCATGCACCATCTGGACCATGTTTCCTACACTTTACATTTTCTGAGGATACAATGATTTGTGATCAACCCTTGAACTTGCTCACAACCCAAATCTTTAGCTCTAGCGAAATTCGATGCTAAGCCGTCCAAGGCTCACAAGAAAGCTTGCACACTAGAGCATAGCTAGACAGGACACATGTGGCAATAAGAAAAGATACGACTATTGACTATTAATGCCCGTCAATTTGTGTTTCGTCTGTAGTGTTTGAGCTGAATCCTGATCGATGGAGGAATGCCAAAACGGCGAGAACCTTCGAGTTCGTGGCATCTACATAATATAGCCAACTCTTTCCAAACCCTGGCAAATAGACCCACAACTGATATAGCAATTGATAGAAACTGAGCAAAGAAGACTGTGACTATACTGCACCATAACCGAATCCTTAAAGACCCCTTGTAGCAAACCCTCATAGAGCCTTTAAAGAACCCTGGAGCACCCTCTGGGAACCCGGGGTTTAATATAGGGGCCTTCATAATTAGAATAGGGTTTTGGGCTCCTTTATAGAATTTTTATTGAAGGACCCTCAGGAGTATATTGCTAATTATTTAGGCCCCTATAGTAATACTGCTTGGGGGTTTAGTGTGGTTGAGCCCCCGGCCATACGAGACCTTGCCAAAGACAGATGACTAATGCGAAATGGTGCTGGCAAGCTTCAACCTCGACCGGAACGAACGAGAGAAACATCAGTAAACACGTGAAACACTGATGATCACTTTAGAAAACATGGGCATCATAGTCATCGTCGGTCTGGTCATCCTCGTCGTCGTCACCGCTCATGTCACTCTGCATTGGCACCAACAGCAAACATGTCGTCACAGCCATCACATACAACCTACTGTCATCAACCACATGGACATCGCCAGTCTCACCAAGATCTTATCCTCACTAGGGTTGATCGCCTTGTGGCTGTTCTCTGAGGTCATCATCACTATCAATGCGAATGCCACGCGGCTAGACATCAACAGCATCGATCGCCACCACTAGCTTCAGCATCATGCTGACCGCCATCTCCAGCATCTTACTTCTTCAATCTCGTGGACGTAAGTGTTGGTAACCACTGCATGCTGCCAAATCTCCATTGCAAGATCCCGAAGAGAGACACAGTTACCCTAAGGCTCCATGTACCCATATAGTATATACTTAGGCCTTAAAGTACCCCTTTAGGGACGACTTTGGAGCTTAAGTATCTACTATAAAGGTTATAAAGGTACATGGAGCCTTTGGGTTAAGGAAGTCTGAGGCAGATTCCGAAGCTTATGGTTTCGCCTCGCTGTTCACACCGCAGCTCAGCATGTTTCTCATGAACATTCGGGAAAACATTCCACATGGAATCACCACTGTGGAAAAGGCTAAACTTCAATCCCAATCCATGACCCAAGCATACCTTGCAATTCTACTCGTAGCGCTGCAACTCGAACTTGTAATGGCAGAACCCTGATAAACCCTAAACCCTTTCTGAAGCCGAAGAACTCGCCAGGAAATACCGAGTACGAGTTGGAACTTATCGCACAAAGGCAACCCGATCATGAAGACGATATTGTCATAAATGATTGAGACATCTGTTAACCCCTAGAGAGCCAGACAAGAGCTCAAGAACTTTTCCTAAGCAACATGCCACAACATGTGAGACTGCAAACGCCGAAACATGCCAAACCCTTCCGAGGTAACGGTTTATGGCTTAGGGTTTGGGGTCTAGGTGTTGGTCCAAACACCCGATACCCCAAACTTGGAAACCTAAAACCTTTCTGGGTTCCCTGACGGCTCACTAGAAGGGGTTCTAGAAGGGTTCATTTAATTACTATAGGTCTCGATGTCAACATCCCGAAAATAGTATGAACATGTGCTCTATGTAAATTAACAAGGAGGGCTTAACAGATATACCGAATCGATATTTAGCTAGTAGAAGCAACTACTTAAGCTTCTAGATCCTAAACCCTAAACCCCTACACCTTAAGCCCTAAACCCTAAACCCTGAACCGTAAACCCTAAACCCCTAAACCTTAAGCCCTGAACCCTAAATTAAACCCCTAGCCTAAACCCTAAACCCCTAAACTTTAAACCCTGAACCCTAAGCTATAATAAGCCCTAAATGCCTAGGACCCTCGCGCCTTGGGAGGTGCCATGGCCTTCGCAGTTCGGCCGTAGAGTCGGAGGCCAAGTCGCCTGGTCATCTCGTCTGGAACCAGAGAGCTTAGGGTTTAGACTATTGCGACGCCGATACGAGGACGACAACTAATTCCTACTAACCCTAATGCTACTTTTGTACTGCTCGTTCGACTGCGATGAAATCGGCGAACACTGTTCTCACCTCCTCGCCCGCACAAGCACCACCAGACACGAGCTAGACCAGCACGGCCACCGCCGGCATGACCGCGATGCGGACGACGAGAACATGCCAGTTATCTGAAAGAAACGCCCTAAACCCTAAATCCTGAACCATAAACCCTAAACCCTAAACCCTAAACCGTGAGCTGTCCCCAAACCGAAGACTCGATGATAACGAGTTACGAAATGGTGCCGAAACTCGACGGGCTGGGTCCCCAGCTTTGCACCTGTTCCGGCAGAAGCTGCGAAGCGTGCACCTTGCACTGTGGCAGCTCACTTCCACCCAATTGGCTTGCCCTACTGTTTTTGGGGTTAGAGCTTAGACCCCAAACCCTAAACCCTAAACCCCTAAACCCTAAACCCCTAAACCCTAAACCCTAAACCCCAATGGTCCAATGTAGGGCCTCTTTGTCTGCAAGCAATTGCGTGTATGGCTTGTGCCAGTATCCTCGATCGATGTACATGTGGGTGCCTACATGCTGCAGCACAACGCGGTAACTCTACAGTGTAGTGAGGTAGACTGCTGGGCACGACCCCACATTACCTTAATACAAAGAGAGAGAGAGAGAGAGAGAGAGAGAGAGAGAGAGAGAGAGAGAGAGAGAGAGAGAGAGAGAGAGAGAGAGAGAGAGAGAGATATATATATATATATTACAGAAAATATATGTGTAATATGTGTGGCTTCAACTGATACTGGGTCCAATCAACTAGAACAGGGTTTTGGGGGGTAGTTATAGAATAGTCAGGAACCCTCGCGAAAAAAATGCAACTTATTCAAGGGTCCAGGTATGTCCTAAGACACATGACCAGAGCTTTGGTATATAGGCTTTGAGGCGGGCTTCATAGATTTTCTCTCTACTCGTATGTGGATATACCTGGATATACATATAAATACGCACATATGAGACGCATATTGCATCATCCTAACTGCACCAAAACAACACCGCAGCCCTGAGCGACTCTGAAGCGTTACCCCAGCCCTGAACGTTGTAACCCTTAAGCCATACACCCTCTATCTAGGGGGGGCCTTATAATGCGCTGATAACGCCCAGAAATTGATCTCGTATCGAAAACTGCGAAAAACCTGCTCGGATTGGTTAGGCCCTAGACTAACAGGGCCTTAGCCACCCAGGGGCCTTGCAAGTA